CTCTCTCTCTCTCTCTCTCTCTCTCTCTCTCTCTCTCTCTCTCTCTTGTGGACAGGATAAGCCCATTCCTCCCATGGTGATGACCAGTTTACCCTTGAAAGAATGGTTGGGTATCCAACATGGAAGACTGATCTGAGCTGTCAAATCTGTCGCCATCAATGTATATGACAAGTAGGAGTGCTCCGGTCTCTCTTCTGGAACGATCCTCCGTTCTCTGGCTATGCCCATCTAGTTTGTCTCCCTGTTGATTCCGTCTTTCTTCTCTGGTGGTTGCTTGGTTTGCAAACTTTTCGTTCTTTTTTTTTTTTTTTTTCACCCAGAGAAACGTGCCCCCTCTTTTCTGGGGGGCACCAGTCCTGTCGCTTCTTACCGGCAAGCAGCAAACAAGAAAGGTACATGAACAGAAGAAAGAAGAGAGGACCAAATACCCCCCCCGGCAACCCGAGGCGCTGCGGGAGGGGCTGGGGAGGGAACCCTACGCGGCCCCAGTCGCGGGGCGCCCATAATAGCCGGGAAGCATACCTATGTAGTATGTACCCAGTCGCCCATTATGAGCGTCCCAGGCCCGGGGTCCCCGGTCCCATGTCGGCCCTGACAGTCTACTGGCCTCACAGCAATTGCTCAGTCCTTTCAGTTCCCTTCAAAAGCCGCCTGTACTATTCAGTTTGAGTACTATTGCCCTTCAGTATCCTATTCAGTTTGAGACTTTTGAGGACTATTGCCTTTGTTACCAACCCTGCCAAATGCTACCTTCTTCCTCCGAACATAACGCCTATGTGTTGTATTAGAGTTTTCGAATTTGAAAAAAAAATCGAATAGAACGCATATGCGTTGTATTCGAAATTTAGGGCTATTCGAATAGAACGCATATGTGTTGTATTCGAATAACGCATATGTGTTGTATTCGAATAACGCATATGTGTTGTATTCGAATAACGCATATGTGGTGTATTCGAATTCGAATAGAACGCATGTGCATTGTATTCGAATAGAACGCACTTTATGCGTTGTATTCGTTTACAACGCATATGCGTTATGTTCGGGGGAAGAAGGTAGTGCCCTGACCACCAGTCCTGCCAAAAACCCCAAAACCCGTTGTCCAAAGGACACGCATGTACCAATTGTCACTTATGCAGTACCACCTCTCTGAACCCTGAGGACCCAATTGCACTGATAAACAACAGTAGGAACCCACACCTCATCTCCCAGCACTCTCTGTAGTTACGCGAACCACCACCCTTAACTCTCTCTCTCTACCTACAACCCCCTAATATTGTACACTACACTATTACTCCAACCACTAAACCACCCTCCCTACTCCTATGTTACTATCGTAGGTACTCAGGATATTGTGTTCGGAGATATACTGTACAGAACACAGTACAGCGACCCGGACCCTAGCCTACTGGTTGCTGACTCCTACATACCGCATTCCTTTCCCGCTTTACCAGCACATCCTAAACCCACGTCCTTCGCCACGCTGCTGGTCAAGCCCTGTTCCTAGACCTCGATCCTCAGCTCCAAATCCGGGGCAAATTTCCGCAGTACTGAACCACTGTGTATCTTTTTAACGGAGAACGGGCAGAATTCAACGCCCGAACCCCCGTTTAACGGGCCTTGGGACCCCCGTTGAATCGCGTTTAACGCGAAAACGGGGGCGTCGCGTCGAATTCCGAAAAACGGAATTCGCGCGTTGGGCCTGGGACACGTAGCCCTACGCGCCCCAACACAAAAAACAGGAAAAAAAAATAAAAAAATTGACCCTTATTAACAGGGCGGGGTGGCCAAACATGCCCCTCCCTTTCGAAAATCAAACTGCAAGAGGGATAAAAGATGGGGCCACCCCGTGTACCCCAACACTCTGAACACGTGTGTGCATGTTGGTGCATGTCCTTTGTTTTTTTTTTTTACCAAATGCTCCAATCTGTTCGTCCAGTCTCATTTCCGAAGGGCCCCTGCATATTAGCAAGGACCCCTCGTGGAGCAGAGATGGGCATTGGACTTGTAATCTGTCTGCGTGGGCCTAGAATATATAGTCTGGATTCGAATTCAGGTCTGTGCATCACACTGATCATAGTTATGGGTCACTAATTGTCTGTTTTCTTGTCTTTCTTTTGTTTCTTGTTTTTCTTTTGTTTTCTGTTTTTCTCTGTGTTACACTCCGGGCCGCCGGGCAGCCCAGCCTTCGTCCGGCAGGGGTCCCGGGCGGCCCGGCCGGTTGGGTCCCCCGGTTTGGCGCCGGGCAGGCCCAGCGCATTTTTGCGCGCGAGGGGGGGGAGGCCATTTTCGAAGTGGTTTGGCCCGTGGGAGCCTCCCCGCCCCCCGGCGCAAATTTTTTCTACGGGCGGCCTTCAAATTCGAACGCGCAGTTCGTCGAAGAGCTGCCCGTTTTATTTTTTCGTTCACGTTGCCCGCTGTCGCTGCCCGCCGTTGAAGAGGTTCCCGTCACTGCCCGCCGTCGAAGAGGTGCCCGTCGTCGCTGCCAGCCGTCGCTGCCGTCGCTGCCCGTCGTCACTGCCCGCCGTCGGAAAGCTGCCCCGTCGTGGTTGATACGGTCCCGCTTTTGTAGCCGCCTCCACCTCCTTGCTTCCTCTTCTTCTTCTTCTTCTTCCTCTCCTCCGCCTCCACCTCCTTTCATCTTCTTCTTCTTCCTCTCCTCCTCCTTTCCTCCTCTTCTTCTTCTGCCCCTCCACCTCCTCCTCCTTTCGTCTTCTTCTCTCATCGTCGTCGTCCTCCTCCTCCTCCTCCTCCTCCTCTTCTTTTTCTTCTCTCCTCCTCCTTCCTTTTTCTTTTCTCCTCCTCCTCCTCGTCCTCCCTTCGTCTTTTTCTCTCCTCCTCCTTTCTCCTCCTCCTTTCTCCTCCTCATCCTCCCTGCTTCATTGGTTTTCTTTAGTAGGCGAAGTGCCACGTGTCGGGATTTCTCTCTCTCTCCTCCTCCTCCTTCGTCATTTTTTTTTTTTCTTTTCGTCAACGCCATACGAAACCGGCAGGTCCTTCTCCTCCTCCTCCTCCTCCTCCCTTCGTCGTCTTCTCTTCTCCTCATCCACCTCCTCCTCCTCCTCCCTGTTTCATTGGTTTTCTTTATTGGGCGAAGTGTCACGTCTCTCTCTCTCTCTCTCTCTCTCTCTCTCTCTCTCTCTCTCTCTCTCTCTCTCTCTCTCTCTGCAGTCAGACTCGTTTTCAAACACACTTTTCACACATGTAAACAGTAACACAGCACACTGGCGACATGCGCCCACTCAAAACTCAGAGATATGGCTTCAGATACGAATTCACTCTCAAATGGCTATGGCGACTTCAGCGCCCAAACATCTCACT